AAAAATATACTTTAAAAAACTACAGTAGCTCCAGATCTGCACATATTCAAACAAGAAAATAATCTTTCATTATTTCTACTATCTGGCATGTCCTCATTAGTACACTTTGCAAACAACAAAACTACTGAAAATAAAACTTTAGCGAGAACTCTAAATGACTAATGGGGGTAGCGATCTGAAATACCTTTACATTAGGCAGCAAACCCCAGTGGGTGGGCGCGTATGTTATTTGGGGGTAAACAAATTAAGTAATGTGTATAGATTCTTTTAATCTTTTTAATTTTTTTAGACAGGGGATCTTGCTCTGTCATCCAGGCTGGAGTGCAGTGGTGCAATCACAAGTCATTGCAGCCTCCAACTTTTGAGCTCAAGTGATCCTCCCGCCTCAGTCTCACAAGTAACTGGAACTACAAGGCACAGGCCACCAAGACCAGCGAATTTTTTTTTTTTTTTTTTTTTTTTTTTTTGCAGCGATGTGGTCTCCCTATGCTTCCCAGGCCAGTCTTGAACTCCTAAGCTCAAGTGATCTGCGTAGGTCTCCCAAAGTGCTAGGATTACAGGCATGAGCCACCACACCTGGGCAAATACATTTTATGTGTGAAAGAAGCTTTATACATTACTGGCTGGGCACGGTGGCTCATGACTGTAATCCCAGCACTTTGGCAGGCCAAGGTGGAGGACTGCTTGAGTCCAGGAGTTCAAGACTAGCCCGGATAACACAGCAAGACCCTGACTCTTAAAAAAAAAAAAAAAAAAAAAAGTATTCTATATTGTTTATGCTCAAACATTATCTAGGGAAAACATTATCAGTATCTTGGAAATATAGTTTTATACAAAATGAAAATTCAAACTATTGGCAACTTACTCCATTTTTACTTCCCTTCTTTTCCTTTTTTTTTTTTTTTTTTTTGAGATGGGTCTCACTTTGCCACCCAGGTTAGAGTGCAGTGGCACGACGCTGGCTCACTGCAACTTCCGCCTCACAAGCTCAAGCAGACCTCCCAATCCAGCCTCGGGTAGCTGAGACCACAGGCACGCGCCACCATACCCAGCTAATTTTTTGTATTTTTGGTAGACAGGAGTCGCACCATGTTGTCCAGACTGGTCTCGAACTCAAGCAATCTGCCCACCCTAGTCTCCCAAAATGCTGGTGTTACAGGCATGAGCCACCGTGCTCAGCCCATTTTGATTGGTTAAAACATTAAAAGTGCAATTCGAACTCCCTGCGCTCTCCCCTCCCGTTCCCTTTCTGCCATCTTTCCGCGCCGCCACAATGGTGCGCATGAATGTCCTGGCTGATGCTCTCAAGAGCATCAACAATGCAGAAAGGAGAGACAAACGCCAGGTGCTTATTAGGCCGTGCTCCAAAGTCATCGTCCGGTTTCTCAGTGTGATGATGAAGTATGGTTACATTGGCGAATTTGAAATCTTTAATGATCACAGAGCTGGGAAAATTGTTGTGAACCTCACAGGCCGGCTAAACAAGTGTGGAGTGATCAGCCCCAGATTTGAGTGCAACTCAAAGATCTATAAAATTGGCAGAATAATCTGCTTCCATCCCGCCAGTTTGGTTTCATTGTACTGACAACCTCAGCTGGCATCATGTACCATGAAGAAGCAAGAGGAAAACACACAGGAGGGAAAATCCTGGGATTCTTTTTCTAGGGATGTAATACATATATTTACAAATAAAATGCCTCATGGAAAAAAAAAGTGCAACTCAACTGAATACTGTGATTGCAAAATAAGCTGCTGGAACAATTTCATCTGCCTCCATCCCCACCTCAATTGTCCATTTAAAATCCTTTATATTTAGGCCGGGCACAGCGGCTCACACCTGTAATCTCAGCACTTTGGGAGGCCAAGGTGGACATATCACTTGAGGTGAGGAGTTCAGGACCAGCCTGGCCAACATGGTGAAATCCCGTCTCTACTAAAAATACAAAAAGTAGCCTGGCATGGTGGTGTGCCCCTGTAATCCCAGCTACTGGATGGGCTGAGGCAGGAGAATTGCTTGAACCTTGGAGGTGGAGGTTTCAGTGAGCCGAGATGATGCCACTGCACTCCAGCCTGGAGGACAGAGCAAGACTCTGTCTCAAATAAATAAATAAATAAAATTCTTTATATTTAAGCCATTTCAGATGGATATCTTTAATATGATGAACTTAATGACATCCCTAACTATATCCCTGGGCTCTTTTCCATCGCTCCTACTCCTCATCATTCATTCTATCCACCATGGCAGTTCTTAAGGCAGCAGGCTCCTTTCCACCATAGGGCCTTGAAACAAACCATTTACTCTGAATAATTAATCTTTCCTTTCCTCCTTTTGCCAGCTTCGCTCCCATTCAGCTTTTACCTCTCAGCATAACTGTCACCTCCTCAAGGTAACATTGCATACTCACACACATATTCCTTTCTCTTTGTACACAACTGGAAAGACATCTAATATTTATGTGACCATTTTATTCAATGTCTATATCCTCCACTGGATAAGCTCACGAGAAAAACGGTCATGTCTGTTTTTACTCACCAATACATCCCTCAGCACCTACTACACTTATAAGAGTCAAATGGGTCAAATGAATAAGATAGAGTGATCTAAAGATTTAAAGCCAAAGCAAATCCATCAAGATGAGTATTTGCATTTTAAACAAGTATATGTGTTTGAAACAATGTATATATTTTACATATTTCTAATAACCCAGGGAAGTTAATAAGGTGAGGGAAAAGTTAATTTTTAAAAATTAATCAAATTAATGGAGATAAACATGACATTAATAAATTAAAATTCAGTGATAAACTAAAACTTCTCATTAACAATTTTTTCTGTTCCCGAACTTTCGGATGTTCTAATAGAAAAAAGCTGAAAAGTACTCTAAACACTAACATATATCTGACAGTTGAAATTAAAGAATTATCAATTTTCATAGCCTCAAAGTAATCCCTAATCTTTCTAATCTCTACAAGTCTTTTTTTCTGACTATAAATCTAAGGATTTTTTTTGTTCTGATTATAAATGTATCATTCAGTGTTCTATGTACTATACAATAATATATACACTGTATTTCATCAATTCTAAGATGCATATTTTGACACTTTCACATTCTGAGATCAATCACTCTAAAAGAGCATAGTATCTAGTTTAATTGGATTTTCTTTCCTTCCTGAATGATAGTATATTTGGCCTGACTTAAATACAGTATAGTATGTATGCTCCTCACCAAATTCATTTTCCCCCCAAGGGTTAGAAAAACACATCAAATGAATATTATGTAAGAAACAACAAAACCAGAGACATTTTTACTACCAACAACATCAGGACCTTACCATCATCCTAAATTGCTCCGGCTTGGATAATTTTAAGGCAAATATCCCTCCCTAACCACATGACACCCTTACACTCAACCTACCTGTTATAAACCCTTATCAGGGAATCAGATCCATAAGCCTTCCATTTTTCAGTCCTCTCCTATTTTCACTCCCACTCTGTATTTTAAGTTCTTTTCTACCCATCAACTCACTCTCTCATACCCAAATCTTCAGTTCTCTTGCCCTGATCCTTCTGTCACGTGTGTTCTATCAATTCTAGTTTCTGACAGACACCTATCAGGATGTCTCAACGACAAAATTTTTTAAATTGCCCCAAACTGAACTCATCATCATCTCTCTCAATACTTGCTGCTTTTTCTGTGTTTAATGTCTCAATGAACAGTATCACAATTCATTCAACTGACCTACTCCAGAAATCCAGGAGTCACAGTTCACTCCAGCTTCTCTTTGAAATCCTCACATCAGTCACCAAAACCAGAAGAAAACCAGTCAGGAAAACAGAGGTTCTGCCAATATACAGGCTTTAGTTAAAACTTTTCTACAAGACTGGATCACTTCCCCATCACAGCCTCATTCTTTGTCTAGACTTCCCAGAGGTCTCACCGTACCTTTACGCAAATTTAAACTACCTAGATCAATGCTTCTCAAATTGTTTGTCATGGGGTTTTGTAAAATACAATACAAATGAATTATCAGGTTGGTACAAAAGTAACTGCAGTTTTGGGCATTACATTGGCAAAACTGCAATTACTTTTGCATCAACCTAATACTAGGCAAACAAATCTTTTTTCTAGACAGATTATGCAAACCACAGAGGTAAATGGTGTTTTATAAAAGGCACACAAAAAGTACCAGCACAATTTTATTATTACTTTATTCAAATGACCAAAAAATTAGTCAAAGTGCTATATTTTCTAAAAGCTCACTTTCAATTACTCTAGTTATCTAGTTGAGGACCAGTAACAAAGGCACTTAACCAGACCACAGCTGGCCCTCTCACCTCTAGCTTGTATTTTCTGTTTCAATTAATTTGCTCATTATAATACTATTAACACAAAGTGCAGCCTTGACCTAAGCCTTAACCTAAACTCTATTTTGTCAGAAAACTACTATGTGATTGGTTCACTTTTATAGTCGGTCAACAGAGCCCAAACTAAGCCACAGTTCTGTTTTTTCTCTTTGCTTTATATTCCTGTCTCCATAAGGACTAGCTGATCTATAGTTTCTCTTTAATCTTTTCATCTCTAATAGATAACCCGGAAGCCTTTCTCTCTTGTTAAATAATCAGAATCCCCTTCTCTAACAATTCTGCCTTCTTAACACACAGAAAAGCAATAAAAGTTCCACAATTTAAGACAATTTCAAAATGCCTTTACAATGAACAAAGTTCCATATAGAAACACTTCTTGATTGCTCTAGTCCAGAACAGGGAATAAAGTTCAATTCGAATATAATCTCAACGCAGCATATACTTGCTATGGAATAAGCCCTCAGATACAGAGATGATACTAAGTAACATTAAAGTCACAGATTTACAGCCAAACCCAAGATTCATCTGGTAAAGCAAAGCAATCTTCCATTAGTCTTTTCTAATTTTATTTGAGCACTAATGGAAAGAAAACACTGATCTGAATGAAATCAATGATTAAATAAACAACTGTACTTACGTGTTAGATGAAAGATGCCATCACAGGCACTAATATGAGATAAAAAAGCATTCCCCAGGCCCTGCCCATTGTGAGCTCCTTTCACAAGGCCAGCAATATCCACTACATTTAGAAAGGCAGGAATTTTGCTGAAAAACAAAAGATGGCTTTATTATAAAACAGTACTAAGAACTTATCTATTAACCAAATGAATTCCCCAAACATTTTACATAAATTCTTTCCTTTCTAGAACAATGGAACAATAATGATTTGATAAATGAATATCCACCCCCTCAAAAAAAATTAGAAATGGCCTTGTAATACATTAAGACTTTCTTACCTAGGATAATGAGGGAGAAAACTAAAACAGTATAAATGTATTTATCATGTTTCTGAAATTAAAACACTTATCATTAAATTTACTGTAACGTTCTATTGGCACATGCACACACACTCAAAAGCGGTGGAGAATGTTTAGAGTATGCCGAGGTAATCATCATAAAATGAGCCAACTAACTTTGTGCCAGACACTAAATTAAGTATTTTACACGTATTATCTCACTTCAAAGTTCAAATTAACTCTATAAGATGGGTGCTATTTATTAAGCCCACTTTACAGATAAGGAAATGCCTTAGAGGAGTTACGAAATCTATTGTATTGAGGATCATTCAGCCAGTAGTGACAAAACTGGGATTCAAACACAGGCTGTCTGGGTTTGCATTTGATCACCCATATGTTATATAGACAAAAAAAAAAAAAAATGTGTGTAATGCTGAGAACCAGTTATCAGCATAGTAATAACCTAGTTGTTGATAACAGCAACCAAATTAGGTTATATACAAAATAACCCTTGCTTTGCTAAACAAAGGCACATTTAACACAAGTCTGCCATGTCAAAATGGAGATTTAAGTATATCAATAAATAAAAGCAACTTTTAATGTTATATGACAAAGGCATATATAATGTAATTTTGTATCCTTTGTCAATTTTCGAGAGCATGCATTTTGCAGAATGTCAATTTCACTACCTGATAAAATACAACATAAAAGTTCCACAAAAGACTTCCCTATTATTGGCATGGAAAACGAGTCCTTTCAAAATAATTATTCTATAAACAAATATTACAGATTGAAATTACTTGATTATTGTTACCACCAAATCCACTAAAACCACATAAATTTGGTTAGTTTTTTTGTTGCTGGACACAGTGACTGCCTCCCCAGCATCCACTGCCCCCTCTCTTGGTACCTATACTGATTTTCATTTCGATAGCCATTCCTCTCCAGCATAGCCCAGAGCTTTGGAGAAGCTTGCTCTACCCCTAACTCTAGAAGTGAGGCATGTAGCTCCGGCCTTCACTAAGCAGTTTAATCTCATTCCTAGGCAAAGTAAAAAAAATTCTAGGACCTTCACCTTGCCCTAATCGCCTCAAAGAACTTAAGAAGCCAAGCATGGTGGCATACATCTGTAGTCCCAAGTATCTGGGAGGCTGAGTCAGGAGGGAGGATGGCTTGAGCCCAAGAGTTCAAGTCCAGCCTGGGCAACATGGTGAGACGCCACCTCTTAAAAAACAAAAAAAAGACATGAAAAGACTTAAGAAGAGGTTTACTGGAGGGGGTGTAGGAGGCTGTTAAATAGAAGCTTATCACTCTTCTGGGAGAACTTTTAGAAGCAATCCCGTTTCACTCTGAACATGGATGAGAAAGTATACAGATCTATCCTGTGACCACAAGGGGAAGACAACCTTATGATCAAGTTGATAAAGTAAACTGAAGACAGGAAAGAAGCCAGGCCTTTGATGATATCACTGAGCTAAACACTGTGCTACCTGTTACTAACTCAATAAATCAGCTCTGTAAGTCACTCTGTTAAGGGTAACTAAATTCATCCTAAATGATATTTCTAACGACTAAAAGCACCCATATGATAAATATGAAGTTGACGTAGTTTGGATGTTGTGTCACCTCCAAAACTTATGTTGAAATGTGATGCCCAATGGTGGAGGTGGGGCCTGGTGGGAGTTGTGTGGGTCACAGGGGTGGATCCCTCATGAATGGCTTGGTGCCCTCCCCATAGTAATGAGTGAGTTCTCGCTCTGTTAGTTCACTGGAGAGCAGATTGTTTAAAAGGGTCTGGTACCTCTCTCCACTCTCTCTTGCTCCCCCTGTCTCCATGTGACACACCTACTACCCTTTTCATCTTCTGGTCATGAGTTAAAGCTTCTTTGTCTGGGTGCAGTGGCTCACACCTATAATCTCAGCACTTTGGAAGGCCGAGGCAGGTGGATCACCTGAGGTCGGGAGTTTGAGACCAGCCTGACCAACATGGAGAAACCGTGTCTCTACTAAAAATACAAAATTAGAAGGGCATGGTAGCACACGCCTGTAATCCCAGCTACTTGGGAGGTTCAGGCAGGAGAATTGCTTGAACCTGGGAGGCAGAGGTTGCAGTGAGCTGAGATCACGCCATTGCACTCCAGCCTCAGCAACAAGAGCGAAACTCCTTCTCAAAAAAAAAAAAAAAAAAAACACTTTCTGAGGCCTCGCCAGAAGCCAGATGCTGGTGCTGTGCTTGTATGACCTGCACAACTATGAGCCAAGTAAACCCATTTTCTTTATAAATTACCCAGCCTCAGGTAACCCTTCACAGCAATACAAAATGGACTAATGCAGAAGTACAGTAAGTAGCATGCATATGGGTAGAATGGCATGAAATTTGAAGTGAGAAGCCTTGAGTTCTATTTCTGGTTGACATAACTATAAGTGTGACCATGAACAAATTATTTCATCTTTCTAGGCTTCAAGTTTCTTTTTATGAGAAAACTAGACAGGAAGATATTCAGCTCTGAGATTCTATTTTCTATTGAAAATGAGCTTCTTAATTCTGGTTTGTGATTTATGGCTAGGATAAGGTTTAAACTATTAATATAATATCTCAAAAAATTAAAACTTGAGATTTAAGTCAAGGATTTCTGATGTATTACACCAATGATTTCACGACTACTTGAACAAAATACTTCTAGAATGAAATACTATTTTAGAACTCTTGAGACTAAAATGATGTTTAAAATCTTTTTAATTGCTATACTGTAATGAACACAGACTACCAAAACCATTTATTAATGTTCTTCAATAGAAATAGGCTGGTGGGTCTGGGCACAACTTTGGGAGGCCAAGACAGGAGGATTACTTGAGCCCAGGAGTTCAAACCAGCCTAGGCAACATGGCAAGACCCCATCTCTACAAAAAATTTAAAAATTAGCCAGGCACAGTGGCATGTGCCTGTAGTCCCAGCTACTCAGGAGGCTGAGGTGAGAGAATCATTTGATTGTGCCCAGGAGTTGGAGGCTACAGTGAGGTATGATCACACCACTGCACTCCAGCCTGGGCAACACAGCAAGATTCTGTCTTGAAAAAAAAAGAAAGAAAGAAAGAAAAGAAAGGCCAGGCACAGTACCTCATGCCTGTAATCCCACCATTTTGGGAGGATGAGGCAGGAGGAATGCCTGAGGCCGACAGTTCAAGACCACCCTGGGGCAACATAGCAAGACCCCATCTCTATTTTAGAAAGGAAAGAAAGGAAAAAATGAGATAAAACAACTGAACAAACACATGATCCTGGTTTAGATGCAACAAAGCATATAATTGGAACAACTGAAAAAATCTAAATAAAGTCTATGAATTAGATGGTAATATGGGATCAGTGTTAATCTCGTAGTAAACTACCCTGATTTTGATGGTTTACTATGGTTGTGTGGGAGGATGTCTTTGTATTTAGTAAATACAAACTAAAGAACTGAAGTATAATATGGCATTATGTCTGTAACTTACTCTCAAAGGTTCAAAGAATCTGGGTATGCAAGGGTATATAAGCACTTGTGTACTTTGGCAGCTTTTATATAAATTTAAAATCATTTAAAAATAAAAAGGTTTTAGAAAGGACACTGAAGTCAGCCTGAGGAGCCAATCTGAGAGATATAATTTGAGCATCAAATCAATGTTTGTGACAGATTAAAACCAATAAAATAACACTCATCTGAATAAATACATGAATGAACAGATGAAGAAAGCTTTTCCTTACACTGCAATATTAACAAATGAAGGAGGAATGATAGAATTACAAAATCACCATGTGAGAATATCCATAGTAAAAATTAATTCATCAAAAAAATCAATGGATGCTACAACTAGTAAGTGAAAGTGAGAAAAGTGAATGAGTTCAGTATATACTTTGTAGTTAGAACTCACAAAATTGCTGATAGACTGGATACGGGGTGAGGGGAGAGAAGAATCAAAGATAAATGGTGGGCACTGATTTAAGCAACTGAGGAAATGACAGTGCTATTTATTGAGTTATGGCAGTCTTGAAGAAGAATTTGGTGCAAGAAGGTGAAATCAAGAGGTCATTTTGGACATGTCAAGTCTAAGGCACCTATTCAGACCTCCAAGTGTCAATATCAAGGAGGCAGTCAGAGATAGAAGAAATCTGGAGTTCTGCAGAGTTCAGGACACGAGACAGAAACTTGGGATTTATCAGGACATTAAAAATAGTAAAAAGTTAAAAACAAACTAAATTATCAATAATAAGCAAATGGTAAACTGTGCTATATTCATATAATATAGCAATAAATATAAGTATTATATTAGAAATTATTACTTAAGTCTGTATTGCTTAATCCAGAAAGATATTAATAATATCCCAAGTAAAACAAGTATTCTATTTCTGTAAGGAAGTGTGCACACAGTCAGGAAATTATGGAAGGATATATCCCCAAAGTATTTACAACTGTTTTATCAAGGTAGAGGAAGTAGAGGTGGTTTTCACTCCTCTCATTATACATTTCCCTAATGTCTGAACTTCCGACAATGAACTTAAACTATCTCATCTTTTCCTAATAAAAGTCTTACTTATTTTTTAATTGAAGATATAATACACGCTTATTGTAAAAAAATTCAAACATAGAGGAATATAACAATAAAGTAAAAATCACCTAAAAATTCCACTACCCAGAGACAATCATCAGCCTATGTTCATACATTTTTTATGCATATAAGCAAATACATATAGTTTTCCATGAATGAGATCACATAATACAGACTAATTACTCCCTCTATTTCATACTCCCCAGAAAAAAAAATTGCAATGTTAACAACTGAGTATACCCTTCTACACCCTTCTCCATACTCTGCATTACTTTTTTTCTTTTTGAGACGGAGTCTTGCTCTGTTGCCCAGGCTGAAGTGCAATGGCGTAACTCGGCTCACTGCAACCTCCACCTCCTGGGTTCAAGCAATTCTCCTGCCTCAGCCTTCCGAGTAGCTGGGATTACAGGTGCCCGCCACCCCGCCTGGCTAATTTTTTGTATTTTTAGTAGAGAGTGGTGTGTTAGCCAGGCTGGTCTCAAACTCCTGACCTCATGATCTGCCCTCCTGGGCCTCCCAAAGGGCTGAGATTATAGGCGTGAGCCACCAGGCCCAGCCCTCTGCATTACTTTTATACTCATCCAAAACAATAATGCTACATTAATTTTAAAAGAAAAATTCTTCCATATGACTTTAAACGTATCACATACATATCTGCCCAGTCTACACAAAGCCACCAAATAAATAGCATAAAATATCTCTTACCTTGCTGGTTTGTGGTATTGGCAAAGAAAGTCAAACCTTTCATCTGGCACAGGTACTCTGCTCTCATTAGGATCAATAGTGCAGAATGGGAAGTTTTCTGCTGAAGCCTGACTATTGGTTAATACATTGAAGAAAGTAGATTTCCTAAAACGAACAAAAGCAATTTCAATCAATTCTTAGGTTAACACCAAGAAAACTTTATCTCACTCTAATTTCAATGCTCAAATAAGATCCATGAGGAATATAAAACCAATCTACAAAGAGAGGGAAAAAGGAACAACACATTTTTTACTAACAGAAGTCAATGAAATTTACAACAGTATAGCGGCAGCTCATGACATAATTAGGTTATGTCCCTATCACAGTCTATTTGAAACTTGAAAAGCATGTTCTCAAAGAATCTTTGTTGTAAGTGAGAGTTTCATGTCATACTACAAAATCTATTTTTTTCCATAATATACCTGATCGTACCAGCATCACTTCATCTATACCTAACATAACCTTCTCTAGCATGAAATGTACAAGGCATGTCTCTAGTCAAGTCAATGACTTTCCAAAAACTCTGAATTGGGAAAGAGATGCTAAATGTCTGGTATCTGATAGGAAATGGGAGGTTAGTACTCAGAACTGCCTTCTAATCATTAGTATATAAGGATTACTGGTAAGTCTAGAATTGTGAATTATGAAAATCAAAATGTGAATTTTATTCAAGGCATGACTTAAATCAAGAAAATATAATATCTATTAATATGAAATAAACTAGTCACTACTTTTCCAATCATTTGACTGCCATCAAGTAAGCAGAGCTCAGAGAAAGCCCACTCATGTTAACATCAGCCATGTTTTTTTAAAAATGTGATAATACTTTATCATTCATGTCTTAAAAATATGAAAAAAGAAATAAAATTTTAAAAATAAAAATAAAATATGAGAATATGGTACCAAATATCACATAAAATAAGAGAATATGGTGTCATATATCATATAGAGTAAAATCTAAAACAAAATTTTAAACTCTCAGTGGCCATCTTTTAAGAATGCTAGGTAATTAATTCTTTGAAGACTGTTAAAGTAGTTACCATGTCTTACCTATACAAATTGTGCTTTCAAAATAACCAGTAGTTATGAAAAGAAAATTATTTTATAGACATATTCCAGCCAATAAATGAGGAAAGAATAAAAACAGAAGAGCATCATTCTGCAACCCCTAACAAATTAATGGATCTTGGTAATAATTTCCAATGACAGTTAGTGCTGCAAAAAGAGGAGAAAAAAATAGTACCTCCCGAAAGAAGTATATACATCATCTGTCATCTGAATCTGACCAACACTTTACATGTTACTGCTAGCTTACAGGAAATATAGAGGACAGAAGAACATATTAAATGATACCACAGAGATAAAATCAATAAAATCCAGACTCTGGAAAATTTTATAAGCCTAAAAACCAGATTTCTTCAACAGGTCATCTGGGGGCTGGAAGTAAGTGGGAAACTTCTTCTGGATGAGATGTAAAAGTAACAGCAGACTAACAATCCCACCCAGAACTAGAAAAACCATCAAAAATGCAGGATACAGAAGTCATCTGTTTGAAGGGTCTGGGATTCTGAAAATGAAAACAAAAAATTTGGAAGGAGACACTTGACCTCCACAGCCACTTTTACCCTGGGGACCTGTGCCCATTCTGGGCAAAAGAAGGATGCAAGGATCCAGACTTTATACCCATAGAAAGCTGATGCTGATGGAGAAAGAAACCAGCAAAACATCTGGAGGAGACTTGGAGAACCTCAGGCACACCACCAGTTTTCCCGCTGGGGATATTTTCCTCCAGGGAAAACTACAAAAGCCTACTCCAGTCACTGGTAACACAGACTGGCCCACTCTCCATACCTTCTTCCCCTCACCACGAAAAAATTTAAAATAAAGAGTGATAGTTAAGTTGCCAGGACAGTCCAGGAATCCTTATTTATCTAAAATGTAATGAAAATATTGTATAACTACAATGGAAATATTACAGAATAATGTTGTAATAAAAGTATGTAAGACAAAATTTAAATACAGTAATTTAAACATTTATAGGACACTGGGGCCTAACATTATGAAGACAAAATGCTATTGCATTTTTGTATAGTGTAGTTTAAAAACCGCTCATTGCTATTACCACAGTCAATTGCAATTCTGAAAAGGCCATAGGTTGTTTACGGAAGTTTTTTCAAATGTACGGTTATTACTATTTATATTTTATATTGTCTACCTGGACAAAATAAGGAAATAAGATATGTTTTATGATTGTTTAAAAAAAATGTATCCCCTAAAGCATATTATATGGTAAAACATAGCAAAAAAAAATTCCTTAGGCAGAAAAAATTCTTACATGCATTCAAACTAAACTTAGAAGACAAATGTCCATTTTCACAGACTGTCTCATTTTAGATGAATTTTAAATTTCATGAAACCCAAGTCATCTGTAGCTTCTAACAGCTTTGTAGGTATAAAAAAGTAAAAAGAAATAAGGAAGAAGGAAAAAGAAATTTCTAAGGATCATTACTATAGGCTTCAGTGGCAACATAAGACATTTTGATCTATTCAAATCTATTAAGAAAAGCCTTGCGAAAGCAAAGAATTTGAAAGTTTTGGCCTATGCCTGAAGTATTAAAGCCCATATGCTTTTTGTAAAATGAGAACTTTTTAAACACACACACACACACTTAGATCCCTTGAGGTTAATATTAAAGCTTAAAAGTAGGAGAAAGATTCAAAGTTGTAGGAATTTCTCTCATGCAAGAATGGGTTTACATAACTTATTTCAGCAATGATAGTATTAAAAAAACAAAACAAAAACAGTGACTAGACTAAGTGTATGCCCCCTAGACTTAGGACCTAAATACTTTATTTTGGAAATTACTATTTTAATCTATTAAGTAAACCTGACAGAATAGATGTTTTACGTAAAACTTTACACAAAATTGCAGCATGTAATGGGAAGTAGGGATACCAGTGCAAATTCCCACAGCATTCTGAATTAACCATGTATATATAATATCCATTCAAAACATGGGAAAAGAATTAGAAAGTCCTTGCAAAATGTTTTCAATTTAGATATAACTAAACTGTTAAAAGCATCTATCTGATAGATACACAAATACATAAGATGACAGAAATAAATAATAATCCATGTACACATGGGTGAGTATAATTACATATTTTCTAACTCCATCAGAGAAGGTCTAAAAATAGCAACACTTCAGCAGCAATGATCACACCTAGAGAAATGTCTATTCTCAACAGATTATTTCTCCAAAGAAGAGACACAAATGGCTAAAAAAATATGAAAAGATGCTGAACCACTAATTACTAGAAAAATGCAAATCAAAACCACAATGAGATATAACCTTACAATTATTAGGATGGCTACTATCAAAAAAAAAATAACAAGTGTTGGCAAGAGTACAGAGAAATTAGAACTCTGTGCACTGCTGGTAGGAATGTAAACTGGTACAGCCACTGTGGAAAACAGTTTGAGGTTCCTCAAAAAGGTAAAAACAGAATTACCATATGATTCAGCAATCTCACTTCTGGGTATATATCCAGAAGAGTTGAAAGCAGGATCTCAAAGAGATATTTGCAAACCCATATTCATTGATGCATTTTTCATAATAGCCGAGAGGTAGAACCAAATGTCCATAAACAGATGAATGGATAAAGAAAATGTTATCTACATATGATAGAATATTACTCAGCCCTTAAAAAGAAGGAAATCTTGTCACATGCTACAACGTGAATAAACTTTAAGGACACTATGCTGAGTAAAGTAAGCCAGTCGCAAAAGTACAAACACTTTATGATTCTACTTATATTCATATACTCATATATTCTACTTATATGAGATATCTAGAGTAGTCAAAATCATGGAAACAGAAAGCAGAATGGTGGTTTCCAGGGGCTGGGGGGGAAAGAAAAATGGGAAGTTGTTCAATGGGTACAGAGTTTCAGATATGCAAGATGAAAAAGTTCTAGAGATCTGTTATACAACAATGATTATAGTTAACACAACTGAACTGCACATTTAAAAACGATGAAGATGGTAAATTGTATAATATATCACATTTTTTATTTTGCGACAGAATCTCACTCTGTCACCCGGCTGGAGTGCAGTGCCACAATCTTGGCTTACTGCAACCTCCATCTCCTGGGTTCAAGAGATTCCCATGCCTCAGCCTCCAGAGTAGCTGGGACTACAGGTGCATGACACCACGGCCAGCTAATTTTTTGTACTTTTAGAAGAGACAGGGTTTTGCCATGTTGGCCAGGTTGGTCTTAAACTCCTGAACTCAAGTGATCCTCCTGCCTCAGCCTCCCAAAGTGCTAGGATTACAGGCGTGAGCCACTGCGCATGGCCATATATTATATGTTTATTATCATAATTTCTTTAAAAAGTATCAAACTCAAATGGATAAATATTATATAAAATACCTAACCAGTACTCTTCAAAAATAAATCTTTAAAGGTCATGAAAAATAAAACATTCAGAAACTGTCAAAGATTGGAGGAGATAGGAGACATGAAGACTAAAACGCAACATGGTATTCAAAGACAAAGGACATCAGTGGGAATATTGGTGAAATCCAAATAAAGTCTGAAGTTTAGTTAATAGTAAAAAAGCAAATACAGTTAACCCTTGAACAACACTGGTTTGAAATGTATGTTCAAAGTGCATGTGTTCACAGATTATTTTCAATAAAATGTACACTGAGTGTGCCTGCCCCTCCTTCCTCTCCTTCCACTTCCTCTCTATCTTCTGCCTCTGCCACCTGAGACAGAAAGACCAAACCCTCCACCTCCTTCTCCTCCTCAACCCACTCAACATGAAGACAACAAAGACCTTTATGATGATTCACTTCCACTGAGTGAATAGTAGCTACATTTTCTCTTCCTTATGATTTTCTTAATAACATTATTTTCTCTAGCTTTGTTTATTGTAAGAATACAGTATAGAATAATATGCAAAATATAGCTTAATCAACTGTTTATGTTATTGGTAAGGCTTCCCAGTCAATAGTAGGTTATTAGTTAAGTTTTGGGGGAATAAAAAATTACACACAAATCTTTGACTGGGCCAGGGGTCAGTGCTCCTAATTCAAGGG